TTAAACATTACTTAAAACTACAAAAAATGTTCTATATGTATAAAATGTGATTATCTGCAGTACTCTAAACCCAGTTATCAAAATAGATTTTAATGATAGTGAGGAGTGTTTATACCACTATAAGTAAAAAGGCAAGATACATGTGACAGAAATAAAAAGCAGTTTATCTCAATATGATGGCATTTTTCCTTAGTGTTAGAATTATTCCTGGTATTTCCCTGTCATGTATATATGTATAAAATATATATTACAAAATATGAGTTAAATTAAAAGTGTATCTTCTAAAGGTTTTATAACCACATTTGAATGATTTATGAGAATAACCACAGAATGTGTATAACTGAAAACTAAAATCTTCTTTGAATACAGTTTACTACTTAGAAGTCTATGAAGCCAGGCATGGTGGCGCACGCCTGTAATCCCAGCACTTGGGAGGCTGAGGCAGGATTGAAGCCAGGCATGGTGGCGCACGCCTGTAATCCCAGCACTTGGGAGGCTGAGGCAGGAGGATCAGTGTGAGTTTGAGATCAGCCTGGTCTACATAAGGGGCTCCAGGTCAGTCTCAACTACATAGTGAAACCCAATCTCAAAAAATAAAAAAAAAACAAGTCCATGAATTTCCATTTTTAAAAAGGCCTATCTATAGATACCTTCAGATTCCTTAAAACATATCATTAAATATTTATTTTTCACAAAAAGTACTGGTTCCATTTTAAGCTTTTCCTTCCTTGAAAACAAATGATCCCTTACATTAGCCAAGTTAAATTGTGCACCAGAAATAAATCCTACTAAAGTGTCAGATAAATATAAATAACATTTCCTTTTATAAATATTAACCTGTTTATGACATAGTAAGCACAATAAATTATTTTTCACTTTAAATAATAAGCAGATCTATTTCCCATAGGATATATTAAAAGGTATTCAAAAAAATCTTCTCAAAATCACATAACCAAACTTTTATTCTCCCTGGCTTATTATTCTATGGTATGAGGTAGTTGGGATTGTTATGTGTGGCCTCACATTTGTACAGCCAGTAAACTGGCCCATTAGCCACAGCGTTGGCAAGGTTTGCCTGGTCAGTCTATTGATTCTCCAGGGTGATGATGGATTTGCATTACCATCTCTGTTTTGTCCAAATTCCCCTTTGGAGGATGGTAGCTTGCACCTGGAATGGGGGTGTGCCAGGAGAGCAGACAGCACACCACTGCATGCAAAGCTGTTTCACCCCTGTGGCCATGAACTTGGTCCCATTTGATTTGTTTTGTCACCAGCTGACCTAACTCATATTTGAAATAGAATTGTTTAAGGTAGCACATTCCAGAGTTTTTATGTTTTTTTTCCACAAGAAATATCACTGTTAAGTTTCCAAAATATTTCCTATTATGTCACAGATGCAGAGATGGGCTTTATAGTAAGATTGTCAGAAAAAAAATATTTCAAAAACATATAAGTAAATTGAAGGGTGTGAAACACAGTAAGTTTTAGCAACTGGAAGTGAACTCTGAAGCAAAATGAAACATTCACACAAAGCAAAAACAATGAAACAAATTCACTAAAGCAATAGCCTTTTTAAAATTAGTCATGAAAACTTTAAAGATCTTAAGATAGGTAAATAGTAATAGCATCATCTGGCCAGAAGACCACTACATGGGAAGTCTAGAACTCTAGGATCTTGCCCTGGATTTCACTCTCTAAATCCCAATAATCAGTTTCTCATTTCTCAGGAAACTTGGCTTGACATGTCTAAGAGCGCTTCCAATTCTGAAATGCTAAGATTTATGGTTCTTGTAAATTATATAAATCACATATTTAACATTTTTTAAAATGTGGAATTTTTTTAACCCATGGCAAAGATAGAACTGCTAAAATGTTCTAAGATAAAACAAAATTTCAAAAGCTTCCTTTTGGATCAAGTCTCTAAGGGTACGAATAAAAAATAACTGTATAAAGCAACTGCAAAGAGCTGCATTTTCCCATCTGAAGGGAGACAGGATCACCCGGACAGTGCAGAATATACTTTCTTAAACTAATTATTTCTAGTGCAGCACTGCAATATTGCTGAGTTTTAAGACGTTAAGATACTTGTCATATGTTATCCAGCACATTCTTTTCTCTTCCTCTTCACAATCCCTCCCAAGTGCAAAAGTGAAATCTGACTTTCATCTAATAATAATTTCATCTATAAACACTTTATAGTATTGTGCTGCAGGTTGGATGACTGAACGGATTCGAGAGCAGGAAGAAAGCATGTGGCAAATTGTTTTTAACCTTGCAAATCCTCATAATGTCTCCTGTAATGTAATCTTTGGAGAAAAAAAGTAAAACACAACAGAAATGATATAAGAAATGAACTCTTGCAAACTAGAGCTGCAAAGCCTCTAGCTCCTCAAAAGTTAAGCCCCATATTAGAACATCAGGCCAAAGGAACAGAGCAAAATAATTTGCAAGAAGACGATCATAGTTAATTCGGACTTCTTTTTTAATAGCAATTTTAAATCTAAAAAACAGAAAACAAAGATATGTTATTTCTAGTTAAATATTTGATGAAGTACAATCCAATGCATTTTCAATCAACATATTTCAAAAGAATTTAACAAGTGTCATCTGTTCATTTATTTTAGCTCAGATTTCCCTTTCACCTCTGTAAATATACAAGTCCCTTTTCTTAAAAAAAAAAAAAAGTTTAAACTAAAATTTTAAAAAATTCACCAAATGTGTTGCAAAGTCTCCTTATTTTGCAAGAAAAATCTATCAACTGTCGTATAAGTGTGTCTTACGGGTCGCCACTGACCCACCATCATAGCAGCAGAATTGATATTACAAAATTTAATGCTGCAAACAGAATGATTACAAAGGAAAAAGTGAGTTACAATTCAGAGTTAAATAGCTCTGTTATCCTAAAATCTCTGTGGCTTTAAATAGAAATTTATTGGACATTTTAATAGCTTTTTAAATTAAGGAATAAAAATTTAAAGTATTTCTCTAACTTTGCTCAAATTAAATTTGTAAGGGGTACTTACGAAGGATGCATTCTTCCGAACACTTAAGCTCAGCAATAAAGTACAGTACTAACCAATATAAAATTTGAAAAGTGGATTAGCTGTAGGTTTCCTAGAACAATAATGTATAATGGTGAAGAACAGTATTTAAAACAGCATATTTATTTTATTTTAAAATAGTCATGAAATTTTTGTTAAGTTCATATTTTCTATATTTTCTTACATTTGCTAGACTTATATAGCACCTATCTTATGAGGAGCTAACAATGTCTTATAGATTTCATATTAGACTGCATCAACATCACTTGTCAATATTTTTTTACCTTAAGAATTTCACTTGTCATATTTTAGAAAATAGCAAGGAGTGATGTGAAACAAAATAAAGCAGTAGCAAACGGGAAAAGAAGAGGGTGAAAAGAAAGAAATTATATTTTCAAAAAAGCCACTCACCTAACAGGTGAAAATTCAGCCTTATTCGATCACAGATTCATCACTGCTTCAAGGAGTTGATGAGAAAAGTAATGAATCTACAGCTTTCCTGAATCTTAAAGGTCAATTTTAAACTTGAGATTATAAGGTTGTAAACAATCCTTCTGAATAGAGACTATCAATATTATAATTTGTTTGTTACTGTATCAGCGGATGTACCAAAGCCTATTCGTAAGAGTGTACAATCATTTATTAGATGTTTTCACTGTTTTTGCAAGACTAGTATCTTCCTTGTTCTTAGGAGCTAAATGGCAGCAATTCAGTTTATGAATTTCTGGTGAACATTTAAAATATTTAATGAAACATTAATTACCATGTAATTAGCCTTTACTCACATATAGGATCTGAAGTATAAATCATCAACACTATAATGTTTTATAAAATGAGTCTTATGAAACTTGAGGTATTAAAGCTTCATATTCTGACTATAATTTATTATACACAAGGAATAGATTCACATACTTTTAGTCCTATTTTGAAAACTTCTGAATTAAAAGAAGGAATCAACAAAGATTTCTAGAACCTAAGGCACTTTATTTATAAAAATATAGAATTGTAAATTTTATTTCAAACATAAAGCATTGCAGAATACAAGTAATTTAAAGTTAAGGCAGGCTTTAAGAGTTATGGATAAACTACCAAAAAATTGTCTATTATTGATGGCATCAATTAAGAATTGTTTTTTATACCAAAATATGATATATTCCTCACAAACATGTATATACACAAAGCTAAGTTGAAATAAAAATATCTTAATATTTTAAATTCTCAATCGAACATAATGAATGATTGAGGCACTTATTTATAGACAGATGTTACCTCTGATTATGCACTCAGCTAAAATTCATTTAATCATGGAAATTTTAAAAATATATTATCTGGATATCTGATAAATTATTGGCCATTTATGTTCCACTGTAAATGCTTTGTAAAAATATTCTGTAGAAAATCTAAGTACCAATTTACTTTATGATCTTGGGAAATATTTTTAAACTTATATTTAAAACCTTTTATTTCAGAATACTTTGAATTTTAAAGTTTGCATTTTCATACATTTGCAATACATTTGTTTCATACTCTGCCCTAAAAATCCCTAATTTCATTCAGATAGTTTTATTAAGTAAATTATGTTCTGTCCTACCAACTTCATTAGTTTAGCAAAAGCCCCAAACTGTGAACTATTTATGGTACAGAACTCTCCTCTCTTACCAACTTCATAAGGCTCTTGCAAATTGTTCCATGAATAGCATTAACTCTGGGACCAGAAGTCTAGTCACATAAATATTCAAACTCTCTATTTAAATCCTAAAAGAATCAACCATTTCAAAACTATCTCCAAAAGATATTTATATAAGACACTGCCTCAGGAAAATTGTCAGCTAAGCTAACTAATAATTATCACCTGAACTAAGACCATTGCCCTTAATCCATTTTTTAAATACAAAACTTGAACACACTGTAATTTGTTTAAGAATCTTTATTGATTTTTTTAACAATTCAGTTTGTTGGATCTCCATGCAGTTTATTTAAAAACTTCAATAGTTTCATATAAACTGCAATCAAAAAAGTAATTTACTTTGTCAATGAAGTAATTTGAAGTTGCAAGTTATTTTTTGTAATACGCAGAATAGTAAAATGTAAGCATGCTCTTGGATGCAGATCCTCTTGTGCACTACGGAGTTATTTTTAAGAGCTTGCTAAGGTCTGCAGGCAGTTTATGGGATGCAATTATTTTCTCCACAATTTAGGTACATGAGAATAAAACTTATTTATGAATAAAGTATTTTTCTCAAAAAAGTTGAGGCAGCTTTTGTTGAATGCTATCCGTGCAAGTACACGTGCTACACCTTTAAATGTACTAAGAGAGACAAGACAGCAAGGAGTCCGTGTTCATGCTGCAACTTGAAAGTCCTTCCACATGTGTTGAGCAGTTCCAAGAAAAGAGGGCAAAACACTGCACAGTTGTTCATAGTCTTACAATAACAGCACACACCAAGAAACTTTACATGACAGAAGCAAATCCCCTTCACTGCTTTTAAAGTCAGTACTGTCTACAGTGGAGGGTAGAAGTGGAGGAAACCTAGTATGGATAAAGCTTAAGTCTACACCTCATGCAGAGTTGTCCTTTTTCGTGTTTTCTAATGTTTCTCAGACATCTGAATTGGAACTGAGGTTTGTTAATCTGGGGTCCGCATTGATTTCGTATCTATAATGATACCCCTCCATGTGATCCCTGCAGGCATCTCTGATGTTGTGCATCCACTTTTTTATCCCCTTACGGTTCAAATACAAAACGAGGAGGAAAATTGCGCCTATCAGGGCTAAAACAATACCCAGGAAGACATAAGAAGTTTGCAGGGATGGAGGGAGGATAGGGTCACAGTCCAGATCAGCGATGTTGAGTTCCACGAGGATTCGATTTCTCATTTTTTCTGGGAACGCACAGGTGAGCTTGGCTTTGCCCTCTACTATCTCGGTCTCCTTAAGCCAGGTCACCATGTCCACCATGTGACAATCACAAACCCAGGGATTGTTCTCCAGAAACACTTTAACATGCTCCAGGCTTTGCAACTCTGCCAGAGTGCCATTGTGAAGGACCTTGAGCGCATTGTCTTCTAGGTGGAGGCTTTCAAGATGTGTAAGGTTGCGGAAGGACAGGTAGGTCAGGCTCACCAGGGAATTGTTACGCAGGTCCAGGTGCCTGAGGCCAGGCAGTTGGGACAGCAAATCCCTGGGCAGGTAAAGAAAGTGATTGCTGGCCAGCTCCAGGCGACGGAGCCCACGAAGTGTGTGGGGCGCCCGCAGGGCCGCTGCCACCATGCGCTCTACGCTTGGCTTCTGGTCAGGGCCCTCAGGGGTCTCGACGTGGTTCAGAATCAGTTCCACCAGGGTGCTAGGGTTCGAGGCGCTGGCGTTGATGCCCGAGAAAGCGAAGGGGCTGAGGTGGACGAGGGGGTTGTGGCTGAGGTCGAGCTGCCTCAGGCTGGGCAGGTCCTCGAAGGCGGCGGCGTGCACATCCCCCAGGCGGCTGCCGCTGAGGTTGAGCGCGGTCAGCTCGGCCAGGGGCGGGCGGCGGGAGAAGGCACCGGCTGGGAGTACGGCCAGCTGGGTGCCGGGGAGGAAGAGGGTGCGCACGTAGGGGGGCAGG